CAATTGTAACCATTATCCCATCTGCTGGTCCCCAAACTTACTTTTTTTTTTTTTCAAACTTACTTTTTTAACTACAAAATATACAATAAGTTGTTTTATGTTCACTTTTTGAGAAACTTCCTTACAGTTTTTCTAACTTGCCAGAAGGTGTGTGTGCTGACCAGAAAGAGACAGAGAGAGGGAGAAAGTACCCTCCCGCCCGGTGAGGTGTGGTCGTCTTTCTCCATTTCTCTGTCCTGTCAGGATATTAGGCAGGTGTGCTTACATGTCTGGAGTGTTTTTCAAACCATTGGGTCTGGAATTCAAATGGCTTGGTCAACCAGGTGGGATCCAACTCCTTTAATACTACAGGGCCATCCCGTTTTCATTTTTATTTTAAAGAATTATTTATTTAGTTTTACTCATCATCATCATCATTATTTTTAATTTGCTAGGGCACACGTGCTCACCAGAGAGAGAGAGTGAGAGAGAGAAAGCAAACCACTGGGTCCATGACTCAAACCATGGTCAGCCATGTGGGAGTCCAGTACTACAACCACCACACCACTTGCTGGCCCTGTTTTTTTTTTTTTTTCTCCCTACTTTTTAAAAATAAATTTTACTGTGTATATTTGAGGTTTACAAAATGTTATGAGATACAGAGATAAATACGGCTACATACAGATTAGCACATGATGTTTTATTTGTGTGGTAAGAGGAGCTAAAATCTGTTTCACAAAAACTGTTAACCTATTTCTTAATCTGTTTTTTCATTTTTGTGTCAAGTAAATGGTTTTTCCCTGTTCCTCTCCCTCCCTCCTATTGCCTGCCCCCTATTATTCCCATACCCTGTACTCTCTCTAGTGTCTACAGTTGCTCTTCCTGCTATTACACCTTACGTCTTTCTTTTATTTATTTATTTTTGAGAGGTTTTTGCTATAGGGCGTGTGCACTCGCCAGACAGACAGAGAGAGTCAGAGAGACAGAAAGCAAGAAATCACCCCCCAGGGGGAATGGCCACACCGCAATCCCTTCTCCTCCATTCTCCTCTCGGGATCTTGGGCACGCACGCATACGCACCCGACGTGAGTTTTAAGCCACCGGGTCCAGGACTCGAACCGCGGTCGACTACGTGGGAGTCCAGCGACATAGCCATTATGCTAACTGCTGGTCCCACACCTTATGTCTTTGAATTGCTGCTAATTCTGTTCCTTTATAAGCAAAAGTAATCAAAATCTTCTTTCAATAGATCTTTCTGGGCCAGCCCCTGGCCCAGTGGTCAAGGCAGCTGGATTCCACATGGCCTGGACCTGTTGGCCCAAAAAACATGCCCAGAGGAGGGAGAAATAGGAGAAAAGACTGCAGTGGCATGACCATGCCCCATGAGGAGCTGCCCTCGATTTTCGCCCAACCAGCATGTGCGCATACCACTTGGCAAAATTTTCAAAGAAGGAAAAACACATAGATCTTTTGTATTTCTTTGTTTAATTTACTTCTGTTGTCATCCTTACTCTTCCTCTTCTTCTAAGTTTGATGTGTGCTTCCTTTTCTAGCTCCCTGAGTTGCATTGTTAGATTATTTGAAACCTTTCTACTTCTTAGATGAAGGTGTTTATTGCTATAAACTTCCTTCTTAGCATGGTGTTTGCTGTCGTATTTTAAAAATTATTTTGTATAACTTTATTATTTATTTTAATTTGACCAGAGAGGGACAGAGTGAGTGAGAGAAAGAGAGGGAAAGTGAGAAAGCAAGCCTCCAGGTCCAGGACTTGAACCTCAGTCGGCCATGTGGGAGTCCAGTGCCCTTAACCACACCATCTGCCAACTCCAAGTCGTTTTTTGTTTTTAAAAACTAAACAAACAAAAACATGAACTCATGGATTTTAACATTTTACACACACACACGTATACATATGTGGGTTTTACTATAGGGTGCATGCATTCGTCAGTGAGAGAGAGAGAAAAAGAGAAGGGATAGTGAAAAATCATACCCCTCAGGGGTAATGGCCATGCCACAATTCCTTCTCATTCAGTCTCCTTGGGATTTGGGGCATGTATGTACGTGTACCCAGGATGATATTCAAGCCAACGGGTCTGGAGGTCGAACTGCACAGCCAACTATATGGTACTCAGCTGACTTAACCTGCACACCACCTTCCGGCCCTATATATATATAT